ACAAAAATGATATTTTCTTTCATTTATTATTTCATTTGTTTTTAAAACTTATCTTTTTTATTAGAGTTTCACATTTCTCAATATTAGATAAATAGATTCAATATAAATATTTTTATCTACCCTCCATCCTCTCTCTCTCTCTCTCTCTCTCTCTCTCTCTCTCTCTCTCATCAGATTTACTTGACCAGCTCTATTTAAGTAAGAACATTAAGAACATTTTTTTTTTCATTTGGATGTTTTTGCTTGTTTTAATTTCTCTAAATTGAAGTGTCTTTGTGCAACACGAATATAAGACAAAACAACAATTTTAAAGTTTAATTTATTTAATCATGATTATAAGGTAGACGCTTTACATTTTTATTTTTTTTAAAAAATGAAATTCGTCATGAAATTATTTCAGGCAAAAAAAAGCTATAGATAAGAGATCTGAAAAAAGAAATTAAAGTCGGTTCAATTTTGCAGTTTTCCTTCTTTTCTTTTGTTTTTTTTCTTTGTTTTTCCTTTTTCTACATTAATCTTATTCCCAAAGTACAACAAATTTTTTTTTATTTAAAAATTCATAATTAAGCTGACGATTAAAAGTGTTTTTATTTGGTCATAAAATATCTCTTTTATAATCCGGGAGTAAATTCATGCGAACATGCAGCTGAAATGTGAAAAAAGTACGCAAAATGAATGTCCCTGTCTGGTACCCCTGTAACATCGATTGTTGACATCAGAGTTATCTCTCCTATTTTTATTTATAGAAAATACAAATAATCTTGACTATCGTTCTTACACATTCTTGCTAGATTTGTAGAAAACTTTGAAGATGTATGTTTAGTTTCAACATTTGTACAAATAATTCAACAACAGTTTAAACAGTATGCACTGATGAATCAATGTTTACGTGTGATCGACGCGATCGCGATGTATATTTGAGAATGGTGGAGCGGATCTTAAAGAAGTAGGAAGACAATTTTCCTTTGCAATTTCTTTTACGATATACCCTGTCTAAGATGTATTCTAAAAAGTATAAATAAGTAAATAAAATGTATCTAGAGTATAAAGGTTCATTATTCTATCAGAAAACACCTTGTCTACAGCTTCTATACATTTACGCATGTAGGAAAACTTGGTATTATTAGAGACGTATTTAATAATGTTTGTTAAGAAACCAGTTCTAAATGTTTTTATTTACATCTTTTAAAAATCAATGGATTTGGAGATTCAGATATTGATTAAATTAATATGTAAATGAAAATAAATTCCACGTGTTGGAAACAGCGATAAAAACTCTGGATGCGTCAAACGTCAAAACACGTGGTTGAAAAAAATCGAAGTTCACCGTCATTCTGCAACGTCACATCTTTATGACGTTATATCTCTGTTTTAGCATAAATGCCATAAGGACCCTTTTGTCATGGGCGCAATCATATATGTTCCAGTTCATTATCAGAACTACAAGATTTGTGTGTTATAGTGTAAAGCACAACGTATACAACTACACATGTACATGCTTTATAAAAAATAGGACTAATATCAATATAGACAAAACTAAAAAAGCATGAAATTTTGCTCCAAATTGCCAGGAAAAATGCATTTTAATATATATTTTTACAAAGATTTGTAAAACGATGCAAGTAATGGGTTGGGAACTAGCATATTCTTGGCTGGTAAAGCGTAAACTATGTAGATTGGATTTAAAAAAAAATAAATTTTGGATTATTAATTCTGCTAAATTTATGCATGAACTTAAAATAAAAAAAGAATCATAGATATATATTTAAGGAATAACTGTCTTATTTTTCGAATTCATGAAGTGATCAATGGATTGGCTTGTGTGATAATTTGCATAAAACGCCGCATAAAATTATCACACAAGCCAATCCATTGATCATCTTCATGAATTTGAAAAATCTGACAGTTATTCCTTATATTTACATGCTTTGATTCCGCCAATCCACGGTCTCCAAGCCTGCTTCTCTCTAGGTGTTGTACCACCCTGCACGTGGTTTTTTGTAACCGCGCCAAAACATTCATGAGGAAATCAATTACATTTACAATTGTTAATTTTATCTCGGACAAAGACATTGGAAATGTAAATATATATATATCTAAATTCACAAATGTCTTAATGAAGAAATAAAAAAAAAGACCTTTTTTATTTTAACTCTTATAATTATTTATTTTTACATATTTTATAGTGATATTGATCCCTTTAGTGAATCGATACAAATGTTCTTTAGTATTTGTGTTAAGTTATTTTTGTGACGAAAGCATTTTAAATATGTGCCTTTCAAACTGCATTATTTCCAAGAAAAATGTGATTTAGAAAAACATAGTTCTACCAAAAATAGCAGATATCAGAGGTGAATCATTACTTCCCTTACTTATGCAGCAATATACCTTCATCACCTGCATACGGAGTATTTATATCTCAGTTGTTTCGATACGCAAGAGCATGCTCTACGTATGAACAATTTCTTAAACGAGGTAAATTATTGACAAGCAAGTTGATGAAACAAGAATATCAACAGTCTCGTTTAAAGTCATCATTTCGTAAATTCTATGGTCGATACAATGACCTTGTCAGCAAATACAATTTATCATTGAATGAAATGCTGACTGACGTTTTTCATACCACTTGTTAGTCCATTATTTATACACTGAATTGACCACGGATTTTTTTCCGTTATTTCCTGATTATGACAACGAGCACACGGCGGGTGTGACCGGTCCGCAGGGGATGCTCACTCCTCCATGGCACCTGATCCCACCTCTGATGTTTCGGAGGTCCGTGTTTGCTCTGCTCTTATTTTGTATATTTGTTCAATGGACGTTGAGATTGAATACTGTTCGTTATTTCCATATCCTTCTTGGCATAATAACAGACCCTTGAATGATTGAAATCCACTATATTTTTCCCTCAACCATATGCATACACATAAACTTCAAGATTCATGGTCATGGATCTAAGTAAATATTATCAAATGAACATTTGTTTTGCTATTATATATTTATTTCACAAAAATACATAATTTGAAATTGAAATTAAAGCTGTTCATGTAGATTGACAAACAAATTCATCTCAATTTTTAAAAGAAATAATAAGTACCAAATTAGATTTTGCTAACATTGACAGAAAACTTAAAAATATAAAATATAATTTGTGTTGTTATGGACTTTGACAATGACATTTTGAATGTTATACTATTTTTTCTATTATATTTAAATGGACGTTTTATTTATTTTCAGAAATAGTCTATCCAATTTAAGGTAAGGTTATATACCTTTGTGACTGATTTGCTATTTGAATAGATATCAAGAGTAAATACATGCAAATATTTCAGGAATTAAAATCCATTCAATTTCAGTCTTCATTTAAGCACAGTACAAAGGGATATAATTCATAAATCATCTACGGTCTAAATCAATCAATAATTCTTTTCTCTATAATTCATGTAATTGAATAGACAAATATCAATTGAAATTTGCGATTTGTAGATAACTACAAATTAATTTCTATGTTTTAATAAATAAATAAATCATTATCAAACACATTTGATATATGTTTTATTAATGAAATTTGTTTTTCCTCAACCTAATTCTTATAAATACGAATAAACTGCATGTGACATATGAAACTATTGATACAATTCGGTTAATACTAAAACAGTCGCTGTAAGCATTTAATATATGTGACACCCGGGTTTTTTAAGACAATAGCGAATGAAACTACCATATCTTTTTTTCAATGTTTTTTTTTTTTAAATTCGTGCATTTAAAATACTTATTTAAAATCAAATAAAAATTTCCGAGGAGGAAGACGCTTGATTAATAATTGATTTTTAAACATAATTTATATTTTATTTGGTAGTTGTTTTCATTAAATGCTTCCCCATCGTTTGTATTCTGATAAACAATAAATATGTTTTCTTGAAGAAAATTAAATAAATGTAAAAATTGAATTATGTATTACATGTATACGATGAAAGGCTTCTAGTGAAGAGATAAAATTAATTTAGTGATTTGAAAAATTAAAAATGAATTGATTGAATAACGTGTATAAAACCATATGGTTTCGGTTTGTCGATGTGTTTTAGATCATGATCAGCAAATCACAACTCCTTGGGTCTTCCTGTCTAACAGAATAATAACCTCGAATGTATTACGTATACATCATGACATCTCCATGCTCTTCACCCCCTTTACCCAAACTTTGAAACAAATGAGAAAAGATATTTTGTTTGTGGACTTTGAGTTTAATTTCATTGAAGTAAAGCTAATAATACCTAAAATACGTATTATGGAAAGGACTTTCAACCCCGTCTATCTTTCATAAATAGAAACTCCATGTTGTTTGAATATCATTAACCAGTGATATTTTAAAATACGTCAATTTTGTTTTTCTGACCTGTGACACGATGGTGCGAGATAATGATAATTTCAAACATCTTTAATGTCCAATGACAGAAAAGTTGTTTAATTCCTGTCAGGGTTATGAACTTCTAATCACTAAAAGTTGTTTGTCTTGACACAGAGCCAAGGTTATTCTGTTAAGAAGAAGGTCACTGACAGAAGAAATATTTTATTTACTACGCTATGAATTAGTAAATGAAAATCATTGGAGGCTCTTACTTGAAACATAGATTACTTATGATTTGGGGTTTTGTCATGACCCTGATCAAATGTATTTCTGACAAAAAAAAATGTTTAAGTATAACTTTATAATTAAAATTTATTGGAGGCTCATGCTGGGAAGAAAGGTTGTTGACATTAGAAAGTGCAGTGACCTTGACCCAAGGTCTGTACTTCCTGTCCATAGCTTCAACGGAAGACCTACTTGTTGCTTTGCAACGAGCTCGGCGCAGGTTTTTACTATTTTTTCTGTCTATCGCTGCATTTGTAAACAAAAATTTTTTTTTTATTTTATTTCAAATACATACTTCTAAATTTCGGTGCTTACAATAACCTGGACCTTCGAGAAGATAACAATTAACAAAATGCCAAATTATATCAGAAATTTAAACTAGAATAGAAGTAAAACACAGATATGTTTTTGTCAACCGATCCAAGCAGAACTATTTACTTCGATTGATATACAGGAAAAAGATAATTGAAATTTTAAATGAAAAAAGGTCATTTATTGACAAAATGACGAAACTACTAATACCATAATATACTTTTTGTAAGAAAAGTTAATAACACTCTATGAGCAAAATCATCTTAGTGTACTATGTAAAATGATTATCAAAATAAAATCTATATTTCATAGAAGTAAGCTTTTTTAATCACACATAAAAATTGTATAATTGTACTATTAAACTATGCATCGTTGTATTATTGAGGACGTAATTCTTTTGCATTATTATATCAATTTCTTTCCTCCTGTATAATCTGCATCTGTAGACAAAAACAGAGAAAAAGATCAACTAGAAAAGAAATATCAACAATAAAGTTCATATTTATTATGCCGAAACCTGTTGTTTTAAAATATAAAACGATCAGGAAATGCATAATGAATGTGTTTGATTACAAAATAACAGAATGGTTTACCTAGTGAAGTTTAATTAACATCATGGTCTCCCTTACTGAGGATCCGTCCTCTACTATAGGTTTCCATGGAGCGGCCCACATTGCCGGGGGCCAGGGACCGTTAAGGTAGGCGAGGTGGCAGTAGTTAAACCACCAGCCTCCTTCATTAGCTGCGGCACAGTTCGGACCCATAGCTCCGTCATTATCCCTGTCTGGAGTGGAGAAGAACATTCCAGACAGATCTCTCGTAGACTTCCCAGTGTCTAACATAGCGTCTCCTGTAGAAGTAAAGGTAACACCTGGATTATATCAATCAACCTAATGTCATCTCTCTCTTCTTTTCGTTATGATTTTTTTAAAAATTGACTATAAAGGAATACGAACGACCAATGCAAAAATATCTTGTCTGATATGTTATATCCCTATTTTTTGCTGCACGATATATCTACATATCTTTTATCTATGCTTTGATGTCTATTTGGTATAACTACACCACATTGGACTTTTAATAAATAAATAAAAAGGAATCTCGAAAAAAAATGATAAGAAAATTAGATCGTTATTTTTAAAAAAAATATAGATAAATTGCCGATAATTAATTTAAAAAAGAATGAAACCAAAAGAACTAAATGCGGTATATTATATATATTTGCCCCCACAAAAGTCAAATTTTGAAAACTTCCTGAAATGTTCTGAATTAAATAAATTGTATGAGAAATATAAATTAACAGAAAATATTATAGTCTATTCAAAATTTCTGTTTTTATAACGTCACAAACTAGTCCGATTTTATATCCTTTTTCAGAAAGAGGACAAAATGGACATTATTTCAACATTTTTAGTATTCAAATTTATAGATCGCAAGTATGTTCAGGAAGAATATTGAAATATTTCATTGATATTATCATTCTACACATTATATCAAAATATCGATCCTGAACACACATGCACTCGATGTTTTTACTCAAAATATCGACGAAATATGTACATTTTTCTGTAAAATTCATAAAAACTGAATTTTACATAATGTTTGTGACGACATTACGTACATATGGCGTTATTACTTATAAAAATATCCAGTGCTTTGAAGTCAACATATACTCCCATGTCTAAGAACTAAATATATCTCCATTAAATTTTGATTTGGGGGGTACATATTGGTTATTACCGAAAAAGTCCTTTAACAAATCATTATTTTTATTAACTATGTAAAATGTTGCATGAACTTTAAATACAAAAAACCCCAACTTTTCTTTTAAACGCTAATACTCTCTCTCTCTCTCTCTCTCTCTCTCTCTCTCTCTCTCATATCATTTATCAATTACTAACCTAATGTCCCGGTAGCTGGCCCGCCAAGGAAAAGTTTGTATTTGCCTGATTCATCACTAATAGCAAACTGTTGATAGAGTTCATACAGAGTTGTGCCATTTCTTAATGTGATGGAGACGTATAGAGATGAGTTTCTTCCCTTTGTCAACTGCTGAATAACGTCGTTTCCTACAATACATGTACGTAATGTGTATTGTTAGAAATGAATTAAGGGGATGAAGGACCTTTAGCTGAAAAAATACCTGTCATTTAATTTTTTTCATATTTTGTATATATCTTATTTAGTATGTCCTACATACAATAAAGCAGACATATCAATAGGTTTCTAGACTTATTTCTGAGATATTGAGTGACAAATACCATACCCCACAGTGTCTGAGTGGAGTTTTTATTCTCCGTGTTTCTGGGTCCATTACTCGGTCGATAATTGAAATTTTTCACCATAGATAAAAAATATACCTGCGGAAATGTGTCTTTTAAAATATTTTAGAGTATGAATAGGGTTAAAAATTCGAAAAAGCAAGATTCTTTTGTAACACTACATCTGGAGACGGAAATTTACGACTTTTTTAGGACAACTTAAACCATGAAAAAATTAATTTGCAAAAAATCCTATCATTCAATATTTGAAAATTTACGTCGAAGTTCAAGGTCGTCATTGTATTGATTAACTGTAAAAATATTGATTGGTGAAGCTGAGCTCAATATTGCACGGGGCAAAGTTAAACGAGTCATGATCATGAGAAAAACGTGTCATGTTTACATTTCTCGAGTACGGGAAAACCCAACTATGACGTCACACATTCCTGATATAAGCGAAATATAAGACAAAACAACAGAACTTTTCCGTCAACAACCATGTAAAAATATTTTTTGCGTTCTGAAATTTACAAAATACCCTACCATGTACATATAATGGCCCGTTTTTATGATTTTATACTACCCGTTTTTACCGTGTATGATCTTACTGAACTAAGAGATCCACTATGACGTCAACGATACGCTGGACGCGCAGTGTAGAAGAAACAGAAGAGCGGATTAATCTATTCCGTAATTTGATAATATTTGCAAGAAATTTTAAATGTTTTCAGATATTTTTATACTAGATGGTGAACGCAAACAAACAGTCAAAAAAATTATACAAGTACTGTGGTTTCAATCTCGTTTTGTACATATTTTATCAGAGATTATGACGTAAATCAACTGAGTCACGTGACCATACATCCTTCATCCCCTTAAATTTTTGGAGTATAACATACGTCTAGAATGAGAATAAATTAGGATTTCAAGAATGTCAGACTTTAATTAAAATTTGTAGTTTCCCCATACCTTAAACCAATGTTATTTTTAACTCTACGATTTAAAAAAAAAATAACATCAGATTTGTGTTATTTTTACTACACTCGTAGTGATAGTGTTATCAAACTGTATTTGAAAAATCATATATTCATGGTACATACCCTGAATTCATCATGCTATTGTAGAGTGAGAGATTAACACAAGTACTTTCCAATCCAGTAGGAGTGGTTAGGACTCCCGAACCCAGTCTTGTACTCCGCCCACGTTCTGTTAAATCTCACAGATCCGCCCACACGTCTCTGAATTGCCTTTGGGTTGAAAAAAGAAATAAATGCTTCATTTACGGTATTGTTTATTTCTTAATATATATGTATTTTATCTACTGATTAGCCCGCATGTTACATGTACAAATGGAATTTTAAATAAAATTAAAATAGACAAAGGTAATAAAAAGAAAGATATCGAAAGAAATCTTACTGTCCACCCACCGCCCTCGGTTTCCATGTCACAATACACGCTGACTTGGGTCTGGTTTTCAAACGGATGAATTTCATAGACACCAGACTGTGTTTGTCCCTTTATAAAGTGGTCCTTACAATCCTTATTGAGTTTGACATCTGTATGACAAAAGACGTCATAAACATTATGATTTAAAAAAGAAGAAAACGTGGAACAATAAGAAGAGAGGAACAGAAAGAGAATGCACCTTCGTAAATTTCGGCGATTTTTTTAGTAAACCTCTTTTCAAGTTCCTGAATCTTTTCCTGGCAATTACTGTTTACTCTTTTCTGCTCCTCAGTCAGAGAATCAACCTTTCTTTGTAACATTTCTATGTTTTTCTTCACAGAATTGACGTCATCCAGAGCTGCCATGACGTCGTTGACAACGGATACCCGTATTCGTGTCTCTTGATTGACGAGCTGACGGAGGATATCGATCTCCTTTACGCCATTTCTTTCGTTTATCAGAGCAGTGGAGTTCTGATCGTTAGTACCGGTTAACAAGGAAGCCGTCCTGATTTTTGATACAGACATGAAAATCAGTACAAGAACTAAAAACATCGTCATCCTTTCAATTTTGTTGTGAGATTACCAGAGGAAAAGAATTTTGTGCAGCAGTTAGATATTGCACATTGTATATATAGAGACATTTGGGGATTTCCTCATTCAAATGATGTCATAAGGTGTATAAAGAGATGCCTAGATAATGCCCAAAAATGTAGTTAGTAAACATCAGAATACTTGACAGGGCTACCCTTGACAGTACTTGATGTGTGCAGTATAACAGGAATGACGCATACTGTGATAAAGAGATGTCTAGATAATGCGCAAAAATTTAGTGTGTAAACATCAGAATACTTGGGAGTTCCTATTGTTTGAAGTATAACGGGAAACACGTTTATTGCGACGAAAGATAATTATCTCACAAAGATACTTCTTATTATATCATTATGTCATTAACTTGTTTACTTAAGGTAAAAGTATAAACAATAACAAAGTCAGAAGTACTTAAGCAATAGAAACTATTTACTTTTTCCTGAAGATAAAGGAAACAAAGCACTATTTACGACCACATGCTAAGTATTTACGTCACACCTAATTATAATGTTATCTCTGGCTATATGTAACAAAGGACATCCGAAACTTAAATCTGAAATACTATGCTATATTTTGTTTTTAAACTGCCTGTTTTTTTTTTTACATAAGCTGTAGACATTGATGCAAAAGTTTGTTCAATTATTATAATATTAATATGGTACTAGTAAAAAATGTTCCAAAAATTTTCAAATAAATTGTTCGTTCTAAACTCATAGGTTTATAATTAATGATATGAAATACCACAAAATACTAGTTAGTCGATTATTTATGTACTGATTTGATGACGGATCCCGATCATGAGAATGAACACACAGTGGCTGTGACCGGTCGGCAGTTGATGCTAAATCGTATTTGCTCTACTTCTGTTTTGTATTATTTTATGGACTTTAAATCTTGAATACTGTTCGTTATCTCCCTTTGTATCATTCACAAGAAATTTTATATGACTATATATTGAATGGAAATGTCTATGTAACTATTTAAGATGACAAATTAATAAATGCAATTTGATCCACATGAAAACATTTGTTTCTACATTTTTCTTTTTAAAACACCATTTATTCCTTCACATGTAAATTATTGTTAAAAATGAATGCAGCGTTTTCTGCGACGCTCCATTTCTACCATGAAACTTTTCTAATTCTTATTATGTACTTTTTGGTCTTTTGATATTAACAACATCACGGAGCATTTATGAAAAGATTTTTCATAATCACAAAAGATCCTGCAGGACTTGTTCTAAATCAGTTATCTTTGAACTCATGATAGTATCTTTATTACTCTGAATCTCACTCAAAGGAGAAACGAAGGGAGCTGATTGACTCCTGTCATAACCTTACGAAAGTACCCTGACTTCCACTTCCGCAAACATGTAACCTTACAACTCTAGAATTGATGCATTCTCCCCACACTGTGAAAATCTTAACTGAGCGATGTCACGGTTTCTATGCATAAGTCCTGGTTACTGCATCAAAAATATGTAACCCCTGGTAGACCTCTTTAATAGATATAGGTTATGCATTAGCAAAGTTCCAGACCACTTGGTTTAAAGTAAATGAACTCAAGTTATAATTGTCAGTCCAAGTAAGGGGATTTCTGAATTATAATAAACAAAACAGTGGTGTGATATTTTTTATATCATTTATTTAAAAGCAAAGAAAGGAACAAATATTTAGATATTTTTTTATCAAAAAATTTATATAATTTCATAGTAAGAAAGTTTAAGTTATCTTTCTTTATTTTGATGTTCCTAAAATTCTGCTTGACGTTGAATAAATATATTTCATTTCAAAGCACATTAGATTAAAAAAGGTTTAAAAGGTCCCAAACTTAAAAACATTCTACTTTCACTTTGGATCGAACTGGGGTTCCAACTTCTCCAACGAATCATTACAAGTTGTAAGTCTCAGATTTATAGGGACTTATTCTTTTCCCCTTTAAACATATATAACCCCATTTCAAACTATTCAAGCAACTAAACGTCCATTTTTTCCTAAAACATTATTTGCTGCTGTCATAGAAGTAAACAAGTGTTACTCTTGCATCACAAGTAATATCATTTGGTGCTCTTTCTAAAAACAATATTCAAAAATTCTAGTATAAATAAATAATTTTTAAAGACCCTTGTTAAATTTTTCGATACATACTGTTTTAATATTGGAATATGAATTGTACTATTAATACTGGAATATGAATTTTACCCTTAATTCACATAAATTAAACAAAAACAATTTATTGAAATTTGAGGGCGAGACAGCCTCTTGACAACGGGCTGAGACATAGATATCTCAGCCCCGAGGGCGAGACAGCCCCTTGACAACGGGCTGAGACATAGATATCTCAGCCCCGAGGGCGAGACAGCCATTCTTCCTAGGCGCTGTCTCATGCATTTAGTCCAAAGGGTCTGTATCAGGGGAGGTGCATTAAAAGGTATAAATGCTATAAAATTAGAATTTAATTCAATGTTGAAATCCACGGAAAGAAAAGTTGCCACTGTAAGATGTATTAAAAAAAACCATATTTATTCTAATTCTCAGCCCAGACATCATCATTCTGCAGAGCTCGTAAAAAAGAACAAAACATGTCTGATTTTCAATTTATTACAACACAGATAATGTACAGCTTTTATTTGGGAGCATTCAGTAAAGAGAATTAATGAAACTTTTAATCCTTCAGGAGTTCAACCCCAAACTTCTCAAAACATAATCCTTCACAATTTTTTTTTCTGTTTGATCTATGTAGGATCTCCCATGATTTGTAGTTGGATATTATTTTTATCCAACAAATTGTGTGATTTTTATCCCCGACCAAATCGAACAAAAAAAACCATGGGAAATTCTTTTCATCCCATGTTTAATACTTCACAATCCATGGTTTACACAGGCTTGTATATATAGGACTCCACTTTAATTTCCTTCCTTTGGTAAACCCATTATGACTCACATCTGTGGGATACAAAATCAATATCACATGAGCTATATAAAAAGGGTAAAGGGATACACTTGGGGCAATAAACATTATTAAAAAAAACAAGGAAAAGATTCCCATGATGAATTTTAAAAATTGGTTATTTTATCAGAGATGTTTCATCTGACTAATGGGTTGTCTTTGTAAATTTGTGGTAAAACCAGTTTGAATATCCATCTGTTAGAAATTGAAAAAAAATAAAACAATTAAATAATATTTAAAAATAAAATCGACTCTTAGAATTTTTCATAGCCGTTTCAAATGTTTAAGGAAATATCAAAGAGTAAATTTGTTTTTTTAAGATGAAGTGTTGTTTACCTAGTGGCGTTTAATTAACATCATTGTTCCCCTGATCAGTAAGATGAGGTGTTGTTTACCTAATGGCTTTTAATTAAAATCATTGTTCCCCTGATAAGTAAAATGAGGTGTTGTTTACAAAATGGCGTTTTTTTAACATCATTGTTCCTATGATCAGTAAGATGAAGTGATGTTTACCTAGTGGCGTTTTATTAACATCATTGAGGATCTGATCAGTAAGATGAGGTGTTGTTTACCTAATGGCGTTTTATTAACATCATGGTTTTCCTGATCAGTAAGAAAAAGTGTTGTTTACCTAGTTGCGTTTAATTAACATCATTGTTCCCCTGATCAGTAAGATGAAGAGTTGTTTACTTAGAGGCGTTTTATAAACATCATTGTTCCCCTGATCAGTAAGATGAAGAGTTGTTTACTTAGAGGCGTTTTATTTACATCATTGTTCCCCTGATCAGTAACATGAAAAGTTGTTTACCTAGTGACGTTTTATTAACATCATTGTTCCCCTGATCAGTTAGATGAAAAGTTGTTTACCTAGTGACGTTTTATTAACATCATTGTTCCCCTGATCAGTAACATGAAGTGTTGTTTACCTAGTGGCGTTTTATTAACATCATTGTTCCCCTGATCAATAAGACGAAGTGTTGTTTATCTAGTGGTGGTTTATTAACATTATTTTTCTCCTGATCAGTAGATAAAGTATTGTTTACTTAGTGGCGTTTTATAAACATCATTGTTTCCCTGATCAGTAAGATTAAGTGTTGTTTACCTAGTGGTGTTTAATTAACATTATTCTTCCCCTGATCAATAAGATAAAGTGTTTTTTACCTAGTGGCGTATTATTAACATCATTGTTCCCCTGATCAGTAAGATGAAAAGTTGTTTACCTAGTGACGTTTTATTAACATCATTGTTCCCCTGATCAGTAAGATGAAGTGTTGTTTACCTAGTGACGTTTAATTAACATCATTGTTCCCCTGATCAGTAACATGAAGTGTTGTTTGCCTAGTGGCGTTTTATTAACATCATTGTTCCCCTGATCAGTAACATGAAAAGTTGTTTACCTAGTGACGTTTAATTAACATTATTCTTCCCCTGATCAATAAGATAAAGTGTTTTTTACCTAGTGGTGTTTAATTAACGTCATTGTTCCCCTGATCAGTAAGATGAAGTGTTGTTTACTTAGTGGCGTTTTATAAACATCATTGTTCCCCTGATCAGTAACATGAAGTGTTGTTTGCCTAGTGGCGTTTTATTAACATCATTGTTCCCCTGATCACTAAGATGAAGAGTTGTTTACCTAGTGGCGTTCAATTAACATTATTGTTCCCCTTATCAGTAAAATAAAGTGTTGTGTACTTAGTGGCGTTTTATAAACATCATAGTTCCCCTGATCAGTTAAATGAAATGTTGTTTACCTAGTGGCGTTTAATTAACATCATTCTTCCCCTGATCAGTAAGATGAAGTGTTGTTTACCTCCCAGATAGCAAGACTATGTTGGGCCAACATTGGCAAACGGTTGTATGGTTGGCGTTGGGGGAACAACGTTGGGCCAGCGTTGGACCAATGTCACCATGCCAACCTCCTCGACCATGACAGAATTCCTATGTTGGCCCAACGTCGGTCCAACGTTAGCAACTTCCATTCACTTAACTTCCCAAGGAAGGAGGGATGTTGATGTTGGCCCAATGTTGGCCAACTGTTTGTAATACACTCTTAAAAGAAAGTGTCTTTTAAAGTTGATAGTAGTATGTTGGCCCAACGTTGGCCCGATGTTTGTGATACACCCTTAAAGAAAGTGTCTTTTAATGTTGGTAGTAGTATGTTGGCCCAACGTTGGCCCGATGTTTGTGATACACCCTTAAAGAAAGTGTCTTTTAATGTTGGTAGTAGTATGTTGACCCAACGTTGGCCCAATGTTTGTAATACACCCTTAAAGAAAGTGTCTTTTAAAGTTGGTAGTAGTATG